GAATGAGCTTCCCTATAGGAACTCCAGTATAACAAAGCTAATAAGATACATACTTAGTAAGTGCTTATATATGCAAGTCTGAAGAGAATCTAGACAATTAACTGAACCATAATAATGCTTTTTAGAGCTTTACAACGTACATTATAGCACAATTAATACAAATCTAGGCTACTCTGAATTTTAAAACAATGCTCCACTTGTAAACACACAGCAAGGGAAGCTCCACCAAGAAAGGTTTCGCTTCCTTTTCAGCTGGAACTTGCCTGCTAAGTCACACTGTGTTCCTCCCAAACCTCTCAAATCTGCAGTAGTCAAGATTAAAATTCACTCTTCTGCACAAAGTTATGGAACTTACAAAAAAGCACAAAATGCTTTTATTGTTCTTTATGAATGAGCATTATCACAGCTCTGTCACACCAATTTACTTTCTGCCGAATTTTATGCACATCAATGCTATTAGAATCATACCTCATCAATCAGCACAAATACAAGAGCATCTCTGTCATCAATTAACTCTTGAATCTTCTGGAACATCTTGGTTACAAGCTTGCCGCTCTAGAAAGACACCACATGCATATGTTTGACTGTTTCCTTAGCACACAACTTTCTAAGCTGTACCACATTCAAAGACGGAAATACTTGGTTTCTGAAATAACTTTCTAATATAGCTTCTATTTAAGTGTTCTCAGACACATTAATTATTCTGTGTAACTTTTGGTGCACACAGTTATTTTACGAAACAAGCTCAACAGTGTCATTTTCTAAAACACAAAGTCTACTTAATTATCTACATCAATACATACCTCAGAAAACCATTTAGAGAAAAGACTATGGCTGTTTATCTCAATTAACTGTCCATACCTATACCTAAAGTATGAAGGAAAAAAGAGGTATCAACTCTATTGTAAATAAAAGTCAGCGATATCATTAACTTCCCTAAGTCTCACTCCCTCCATTTCAGCCCTGGAATTCTGTGAATCAGTACTTTAAATTACTTACTTTTCAAAACATAATACCTGATTTGTGTTTAATTGTCATTTCCAGAAACATGACTCACTGGAATTCTTTATATTAAATTGCTATCAGAATTCCTTCATCAGAACAGGTGCTGTTCAAATACAGTTTAAGTAACAGTTACCATGCTAATGGCCTCATTCTTCTCTTTGTGTAAGATCTATTTCAGTATATCAAGAACACAAATAAAAGCATGAAGCTCATCTACTTAGCTTAGAATATCCTTAAGACAAAATATCTCAACCATAAATTATATAGCCCACGTTTATCATAAATTCAGCTTGGGCTAGAGTCAGTCAGTCCAGTGATTACCCATTATTTGTGTTACACCAAGTATTTTGTATAACACTTCTTTTATATCAATGTGTTAAGCTGCTGTGAAGTTTAAGGCTAACTCTTGTTACTTGTCTGATATACAGACCGACCTCTGCAGACCGCAGCATTCAGACAATCCAGGTACAAAACAAACTGGTCACAAAATCACTACCTATGAAAAACAGGCTTTCTTGAACATGAAGATGCAAATAGCAGGCTCGATACTCTGTGATCTTTTGTCCTTTGATATTCATTGAAGTTCAGTGTGAACACAAACAAATCACTGTATCGGCACTGGAATTCATTCTACATACTTGGGCACAAATAATTACGCATGCTAAAAGGCATTAAAATATCCTAATCGGTCTCTATTAGATCAATTTTATTGCCAGGCAGGTGCACTATAAAAGAACTATGAACACTAACACTTGGCACCAGTTACTTGATATTGAATAGTAATTATCTTTGGGCTACTGAAAAAGAATAATTAACAGTAGTAAACTAAAGTGAAAAAATTCCGAAAATCATCACCTGTACAACAGCCGAATTGTCAGCTTCTGAGCCAGCGCTTTGCAGAGCGAGGTTTTACCAGTTCCAGGAGGGCCTGGTTTGAAACCAAATGCATACATTACACAGAATCTGCATCAGACTGTTAGTGACAGGTAACAGCTTTTCAACTACTGTATTTCATTACAGCACTAATTGCAGAATAAAAACCCAGCAGACAACAATTGTGCACACCAGGATATTTTGAGAAGGCTGCTTTCTCCACTACAGTCCCAGAGCGGAGCTTGGAATTTATATAATTTGCAATGACTAGTACAGGTAGTGTAATAGTTTCTATGCAGGCACCATAAGGTCAAAATACTCAACAGCCACAGAAGCAGAGTGATTCACCCTAGCAGGACTTGTGCTTATTCTCAAAAATCAGTGGTATGCTTAAACTTGCATCTTCCTGAAACACACTCTTCTAACATGCAACACAGAAACACCCCATGCCCGGTTCGATCAGCTGCCCACTTTCCCAGAAATCTCTGCCTTGGGGCAACTTAGGACATGCGCTCTGGGATAAACCTTCTGGATCTGGCTTGACACCCCATGGAAGAGCCACACAGGTTTTCTCCAAACAGACAAGCACAAGCATCGTTAAACAGAGTATGGGCACACAGAAGTTGATGTTTGGGTGCTCAACAACCCGTTAACACCAACCAGATGACAGCACTTTCATTCAAAGCCAGTACTGCCATTATTGTGTACGTGTAGTCTGCACTACAACAGCTGTATATTTCCCAGTATTAACTTCTTTGTGATCACACTCATGAGCTCATTTCTAAAATTAAATATATCTGTCACAGATGTATTGTTAACAGTCTGAAATAGTTCTCCGAACAAAAACATCCTGCAGCTTCTAAACTGATAAATACTGATAATTTAAGGACAATCAACACTCCTAACAAACATTTCCACTACGATCTTTCATGTTTGAATACCAGTCTTGATGACAAAACTGTAATTAATCAATAGCAAGCTGCATTTTGCAAGAAGATGGATTCATCTGATGTTAATCTCATTATGGTATAAATCTCCACAGGAAGCTAGGACTGACTGAAGAGTACGGCTTCGCTGAAACTAAAAACCAAATTAGCAAAGGTACCGCCTACATGCCTGGCAACAGAATACACAGTGTTAATAACAACACACAGATGAATTTCGCAATTTCCCCAAAAGTTTTTTTATAAAGCCATATCTAACAAATTTCTTAATACTGCAACAGAACTGTAACTAATACATGGCTCCTAATGTCCTCAGGATCTGCATTATTTTTGCACTTTATACCAAAAAAGCAATAATATCCCTTAAAATTAAAAAAAAAGACACCTATTGTCACTGCATTATAAATTTTAGAATTTAAATTCCTGAAAAACATAGTGCATCTGAACATTGATTTGATTCTGACATTACATTTCATCTAGATTTGTATTAGAGAGAAACTACTTCTCAGCTGCTTTTGGATAGCCTCATTTCACTACACAGAAGCGCAATACAGGCTTTTCCAGAAGGCCGGTATAAACAGATGGCCAACAAATCTACTTGGTTTAAGACAGGTAATATTTACCATGCAGCAAAACAACTCTGTTCCACGATATCAGGTTGCTGTCAACATTTTTGTCAGAAAACAGCAATGTGGTTGTCACATAATCAAGTAACTAATTGAAGAGGAGAAAGAGAGACAGACAAATTAGAGACATATCAGCAAATACAATCACAAAGAAAAGCAATCTCCTAGTTATGTCTATTGTGTAAAAATGTCTTAAAAAAAAGAATTGGGCTCATGTCTTTTAGCCAGAGGCAAATTTTCTTTGTGCAAAGGTGGGAAATCCGTTTCCTTCCCGCCCTAAGGAAAAAGAAGAGCAGGTACTGGGCACAAATGGAGTTCTAGAACTTTTATAAAATCAATTGCTTTAAGGAAGTGAAATTATTTCCATTTTCCACCGTCCCACTTGCAGAGTGTCTTTAAGACACGAGCTGCCCAAGCACAGAGAGTCAAAGACTCAACGCCAGGTCCTGTTTAGAAGTTGTACAGCAATACACTTGTTCTGCTCGTTGTAGTCAACCCACCAAACAAAGCAGTTCCTGTCACATCTCAGCTCCTTTCTACTGGAGCACTTGTATCAGCTGCTGGAAGGAATCTGTAGACTGGTTATCCTTCCAAACAAGAGAAGTTGTGTGTAATTCCCCAAATGCTTGATTCTAAAAATAATGCTACTTCATTTTAGAATTAGCTACAAACAGGAAGTGGAGAACTCTTCCAACAAAATGAATACGAAGCTCAGGTGTGAATCTAGCCTGATTTTCACCTACAATAACAAGTGATACCATATTTTCTGTTGCTGTTATCTGTAACATGCTTTTGATCCATTTGTGTCAATACAACATTATTCCTGCAATATTCAACACAACAGTATTCCTGCATTATCTCATGCCCAAGAAGGAGCGATTACGCAACAGCAAAAAACCTGACCTTCATCCAGCACGTTTTTCAACATTATCTTGACGTTGTACTATTTTGAAAATTCACAGCAACCGTTTCAGCATCTGTAGAATCCGACTGTACCCAGGCAGTTCCACGGATTAAAGAATGAACATTCATCAAAGTTACTTTTACAGAAGTTAAGTTCTACTTTTAGTCATTAAAAGCTACTGGTTCTTTCTACAAACATACACTTACAGTCCACAGTGATCAACCTGCTGTTATTCAGTACATCGGTAAGTCTAGTAAATAGTCTTGCCATTTCACAGATGATTTGGAAAGCAGCTCCATTAACTAGACAAGCATCGATGTGTTAATTGATGCTTACCGTATAAATGAAGAAATGTAATCACTGGAATGTTTTGCTTTATTATAGATGGTTATAAAGACTCAGGTGAGAATACTGAGAATATGGTATTATAAACAAGTTAATGAATTAGTTGTTTGTGTCCAAAATCTTCAGGTAAAAGTTGGGGGTTTTTTAACAAGCACGATAAACATCGTAATGAGTGCTGCCATCAGAGCAATTGAATCGCTGGTGGTTTCACTTACACCACAATTACCAAATTCCCGTTCACAGTACCGCAGGTCTGCCAGCCCTGGCAGTTATGATGAACACGCTGCATCTTCAAACCAGAAAACGACCCCACGGAACGGTTTTGTTTCTTCTGAGGGTCCTACCAGCGTTAGGTGGGAGCGCTCTCCCTCCAGTCAAATCACCCACTGTGCATTTGTAGGAACAGCAACAGTCCTGGCTGACGGCACTACTAAACCACGAACTGTCTAGCTGCTGCAGCAACAGTCAGACTGCCATTCCCTTCCCCCCAGCCTGCACCCACCACTTCTGTTACGTGACCATTCGCTATGGTCACAGTGGATCAATTAGTGGGACAAAACCAGGCGGAAATTAGCCCATGACACAATAAGTTGAACACTTTTAGTGATTTAGCTTCTTCAGTTAGTACACTGCCAGGTAACAAGAGTGCCAGCAGGGGGGAAGCACTGCAAGTACAGCTGATAGCAACACACTTCTCTTTTAGCGAGAGTAAGCCACCAAAATTGCCTTATTAAAAAAAAAAAAAACAAAAAACAAAAAACAAAAAACAAATAACCCACACCCAAGACACAACGGACCTTTTGGGACCTTCACAATGGAGAAAGAGAGAACTGATTTCACAGAATGCTGTGTATATTTTTTCTAAGCCTCTTTGAAGTTATTTTTTCCACCAATTTTCTTCTTCCCTTCTAGAAAAACATGCAATTAATGAGCCTTAAAAACAAGGTGCAGTATTTTAATAAAGTGAATTTCTACTCTGTTCTACATTGTTTTCTTCACGCAGGCCAATATGTCTAAAGCAAAAGAGAAAATCTCCTGAGAAGTTCCAAGTTGCCACCAGAACACCACCTCCAGCTGTTAAACTTCTAATTTCTGCAAAATAAGCCAACGCATACGAAGAAATTCTCTATAATTTGTGGCATGAGCATCACTGAACCCAGTTTCACAGGGAAACAGACTTTTTTCACAGCTGATTTCAGAGAAGTACGTATCGATACACATCCGAGAGATGTTTAATCTCAAAACATCAGCTCTGCCTTCTTTCGTTAACTGTATGTCAGAAGTATGTAACTATCAAAATTATATAGAGATTTTAACAATATAAAGCTTTGGAAAATGGCTAAGACTCTACTACCTTTCAAAATACAGAAGTGTAATAAGCAGACATCAGAATTCTTCCTTGAGCTGGTGATTTCCAAATAACTTCTCCATGGGATGCAGCAAACTTCAAACAGGCTACATTTCAACTCTTACTTCCCCTCAAGCAATTTTAATTGTTAATAATTTTCAACTTACGTGTGATTTTACTTCAGTGTCATATACAAGACTTTCCCAAAGGCCATGGAATTCAGCTGCAAAAGCAATGTATTACATACCTGTTCAGGATAAATCAATCTGGGAACTTGTAATCTACTATCACAGCACAAAGCAGTTTTCAAATTTTTCTCAACTAAAATTAAGGATTAAGAACAGATTTACGAGAGCAATTAAAACACCTGGGAAAAAACCCATGTGAGTTCTTTTTCTCAAAATGCAAAGAGTACTTTCTAACAGATACATTCAGCGGTCTCACAACTCCTTTTTCCTCAAATAACTGAGGAGAAATTAACCTTCTTGATTTCTTAACATGACAGGAAATATATCATTCTTTCCACCCTCAGTAGGGGATGGACCTACATTTCCCCAAGATAGAGCTATGAAAAGTTGGGGTAGAAGGAGAGTTCTAAGCCCAATTTTATCATTCACCTTTTTTTTCTACATCGAATGCAGAGGACCAAAAAAAACCATGTAGCTGAATAACGCATAAAAAATTAAAGTCAGGGTATCAATATTGCATTTCTAGCAGTTAGTTTCTAGCTTTCAGCAAAGAAAAGCAAAAAGACTGAGCCATTATAAACCACGATAATATGGGAATAATGTCCAAGTATCAGACTGAATTCTTCCCAAAGAGAAACGTAATGGATGGTTAGGCTTTTCACAGCACGGGAAGAGCACGAATTGTCTCAAAATCTCTGTCTCCTTGAGCTTAAGCTCACACCTGCACTTCTCCTTCTAGGAGCAGAATCCAACCTCCCCAAGCCCAAGGTAGGAACAGGCAGGCCACTCTCTACTGCGGCGCAAAGCCTTCCTCTTCTTTTCAGAAGACACTCTGAGGACACTAAATCTTTTTAGTTAGTTTGTTTGCTCCAAATATAAGAGCAGCACTGTCTTGGGGGCTGGAAGCCAGCAGTGGGCTCTGGAAAATGAATGTCTAAACTGATGAGTTTCTTTTGGCTCTCCAAACAAAAATTTGGAATGCAGCTTGTAGAGTTAAAAATTTGCATGCTTCTGATTATGACTATACACTTTATTCCACAAGACCAGTTACTTCCACCCACCCACAAGTATTACAGATATAAATGACATGTCGTGGAATCATACGTAGTAGTTCAGTCAAAGCCATAAAGAAGAAGGTCCAAACATATTGGTTCCATCGACAACAGACAAACTTAAACAATATACACAAATAATTCCTTTAACACGTAACCCTATAAACACTTTTAGCCTTTTCAAGATTTTCTTTCATCGCAATTGCTCTAGACCTTCCAGAAATATCACATGGGTACCTGCCGGTAGCACCCAGTGGTTGGCTGCAACGATATCCTCGTTCTCCTCTTCCAGGTTTTCAGAGCTTGGTCCTTCTTCATTCAGATGAAAAATATGAAGAGAAAGACTGCTTTTGCTCAAGTCAATAGGCTAGGATGGACATAAAAAGACTTTTAATACACGGTATTTCTTATTCAAAGCTCATTACAACATAAGAAAGTTACAGTTCTCAGCTTGCATTCAGCTTTGAAGGCTACTACTTCTGTTTCAGACCTTACTAAGGGGTGTAGGCCCAAAACCATACCCGCCTTCTCCTGGTTGTACCAGTCGGCCTAAGAAAAGATGTTGCATAGCCCTACAGACCTCCCCTCGCCCAGGTCCTGAGGCTATCAGAGTGTACCTACAGCGAGTTCATATGCGTACGAACGGAGCTGTACATCCTTGACCGCGAATACCTGTCTGTCTTTCAGTTTCAGCTCCGTATCCACAATCGACACAGACTGCACATTGCTGTTAAGGAAACCATCATCAAACTCTGTCCACTTGTAATCTCCAAACACAATGTTATGTCTGTTCAACAGCTTTAAGACACTCATCCTGACATCTTCCTTCTTGGCCGCACTAACAAGAAACAAACAGCATTATTTATGGCATTGATATTTGTGAAGAAGTATGAACTAATATCAGAGCGTTTTATTTCATACAGTAAGCCTACATGGAAAACAGATTCCATCTCACAAAAAAACCCAAACCAACCAAACAAAAAAAACCCCAACAAAAATACTCAACCAACCCAAAACCCCCAAAACAAACCACCCCCCAGAAAAACAAGCCACACAAAACCACTCAAACCCCACTCAACCCCACCATAACGTTCTGCAGAAAAAAAAAAAAACAAAACCAAACAAAACTATCAAATTCAGTTTGTTTGCAAAAGCAACAAGTTTGATACTTGTTTTTAATTTGTGCGTTAAAAGACATAAGCCAAAGAATACTATTTGCTCCTTTCCCAGTCGTGTCAGGGGACATGGAATGACACAGATAGAAGATTTCAAGAATGGACATCAGTTATGCAATCTGACTGCGTTTCACCAGGAAAACCAGAAAAACTCACAGCCAAGTTACTAGACTGAACTTGGTACACTTAGCTTGGAAGCTCCGTTACGCTTCCATGCCTGAGGACAGCCGATAGCTCAGGGTGGAGACATGCTATACGCAGAATTCCAGTAGAAGAGATAAAAAAACTACAGGAAAAGAAATAACATTTTAAGATTTCGAAGGCTTTAACTTAATTTTGCAATTTCAGCGAAGCATTCCCAGCGTGAATTCCCGGTTCCTTGTCTTTTCAGTCTGACAAAAAAAGCTGACGAAAAGAGAGCAGCCGATATTTTACACCTTGACTTTGGCAACACCTTGGACACACTGCCTTATAGTATCTAGACAGCCAAAGTGGTAAGATAAGGGCTGGATAAACGGACAACAAGGTGGCTCGACTGTCCAGCCCAAAGGGTTGTGATTAGCAGTACAAAGACTAAGCAGAGCTGCCAGTAAGTTGGCTGGGGAAAGGTGAGGTGGTGCTGTCAATATTGCGACCAACACTGGTTTTACGTCCCCATTTACGCCCTGGACAACGGGATGGAAAGAACTGCAGCACGTTTACGGGTAACACCAGAGCAGGGAGCACTAGTCAGCGTACTAGAGAGCAGGGCTGCCGTTCAGAGGGACCTCTGCAGGTGGGAGACATGATTTGACAGGAACCTCTTGAAGTTCAACACAGCAAACAGCGAAATCCTGTCTCCCACCTGCTGCCCAGGCAGCAACACGGACTAGAGGCCGACGGGGTGAAAAGCAGCTTTGCAGAAAAGGGACACTGGTGGACAAGCTGGCAGCAGGGTGGCCCTGCTACCAGCACGGCCAACCTTACTGTGGGCTGCGCGGATAAGATCGCAAGCGTTGGGCAAAGCGGTTCTTTCTGCCCGCCGGCTGTTCGTAAGGCCGCACCTGCAGCACCGTGTGTCGCGCTGGGCTCTGCTGGACAAGGGACACCGACATACGGGAGCGAGCCCAGAACGTGGCCACCGACTTGACCACGCAATGCACAAGCAGCTGCAAGAAACGGGTTTGTTTGACCTCGGGAAGAAGCAGCTGCGTGGGAGCACGGGAGAGCGCAGAGAGGGCAGGGCGGAGCGCGAAAGGCAACAGGCAGCAGAGTTCGGATCGGAGAGACCTGTTCGACTTCTGGTGAACCTCCACGTGTATCTGAACGCCGTCACACACGCTCGGGAGGGCTTGCTTCAGATCCCCGGCGGCTTCGTCCATCCTCCTCGCCCCT